TTTACTTTTTGTATGTACCATATGTACCTGTATGTACTAGAAGAATTATTTAAAGTGAAGCTGATGTAACGAAATATACCTAATTAAATGTGATATATCTTATATGAGAGATAACTGAAAAAGTAGCTGCTGCCAATCAGTAAATAATGAAAACATAACAAAGAACATTGCACGTTTTTTGATGATTTGATGAAATTGATTGTTGATCTTTATTTAACTGCTCGTATAAGGTTGGACGATGATACAGGTATGTTGGGTGGACCTGGCGAGGTGGTCCAAATCGACGAATTTCTTATGTCAGGCGAGCCGCTGGTGTATTTTCCACTATTTAGACACATATTGTTCAAAATTGCATCTAGTTTTCGGTAAATATTGGGATAACTTCTCATAAAACAAGCCATTTACAATAAATTAAGACTTTTTTGCAAATAACATCATTTTTTATTACGTATGTCTCCCAAAAGAGGTACAACTTGGCAACAATGGACATCATTTATCTTATCTGTCAAGAAATGAACGTTATAAAATGACCATTGAGAATTGGTTGTACTTTCAAATATTTCTTATAAACGCAAAACTTTGAAGAAGACATTGACAAATTACAACACAACACCTCTACACAGCTTACCAAGTAAATACCATCATTTATGTATGCATTTTGAACTGTTATTTTAGCTAATAAGCTAATGTGAAATGACGCGGCTGGTTTTGAACTTTTTTTTGCAAAAAACAACGATTTTTTTCACATCTATTTTCCTTAGTATTATACAGTGTATGTTATATGTATTCTTATAATCTAGATCTAGAGCATCCTTTGTGCAAAAAGCAAAAAAAGAGAGCGTATAAAACAGTATTCTATTCTAGAGTATTACCATCAAAAATGCAACTTCGAAGTTCTATAAAATAGGTAACAAGCAGAAATGATAAAATGATATTTTCGTAAAAGTTACATCCTAATCTTTCATTTTAAAGTAAGAAATGGAGTATTTCAATATGCCCTAAAGCAGGCCTCTCCAACTCGAGCACTTGGTGCTGGTGCGCTCCGGTGCTGAACCCAGCGGTACCGGTGCCGTTCCCCCTCCACCTCGACCGCACAGCCGTCGCGACAGAGAGAAACATATTAGCCGACTGTCTCTCGGGCGCGGGCCATTTCTGAATAGGACAAGACAAAGTGGACAGGTTTTTTAGCGTCTTAACGTGCATCTTTTTTAAACGATGTCATTCAATCCTGCAGGGAAGAAGCCTATTTTAAATACTGCTGGAACAGCAAAATGTTTAAATTTGCCACACGGTATTGAGGCTAGTAGTTCTAAGTTCTGAAGAGGTAATTATTAATTTGGTCGTAGTTGATTATTATTAATGGTGTCGTAATGCAAGTTATATTGTTGCTTTGAAAATCGCAAAAAGTCGGAGACCGTTTACTGACGGTGCACTTGTCAAAGAATGCTTAGTGGAGTGTGCAGAAATATTGTGCCCAGGTCCTGTTAGCAACTTTGAGACAATTAGATGTCCGAGCAAACAATTTCTCGTCGGATACTTGAACACAGTATAATTAGTGTGTTCGTTAGAGGTGTCGAAATAGTCTTTACTATGACCGACGAACTACTAGACGTTATCCCGCTCAAAGCTACAATGGCCGGAGAAGATATTTTTGATGCTGTAGAATACACAATGAATGACATGGGTACACTACTCAAAAGTTTGCGTAGTGATGTTACTGATGGAGCGCCAGCAATGTTATCGGAAGCACAAGGTTTTACTGGGCGATTGAAAATAAAAGTACGCCACGCTGGGCTACCTCCAAAATCATCGGTACACTGCATATTACATCAGGAACAACTATGTGCAAAAACCTTCCGTAATTTCAAATCTATTGTGGATGTAGTAATAACATGTGTCAATTTCTGCAGAAAGCAAGGTCTCAACCACGGCAGTTTGAAGTATTCTTCAAAGACCTGGAAGCAAGTTACGGTGACATACCCTTTTATTGTGTTACGCGCTGGTTAAGCTGCGCAAAAGAGCTAAAGTTTTTTTTTAATTCATTGACGACGTTGAGATGTTTATGCAAATGAGATTTGTACGACTTCATCTTCAGTGCTTTTCGAAACAGAACCGCCGCAGTTCCAAATGGAGCTGATTAAGCTTCAATGCGACACGATCCTTAAGGATAGATACTACCACTACAATATTAATTTAATTTCGTTTTATCAAGGTGTTAAGCAGCAAGATTTTCCCAAAGTTCTTGCACTGGCCTTGGAAACTTGAACGTACTTCTGCGAGCAGATGTTCTCTTTCATGAATTTGAACAAAACTAAAACAGGTCTTTGTCTGATGTGTCCTTAGAGGCGAATTTCCACTGTTCAAGCCACTGTACCAAATATTAGAAACTTGTTGGATCGAAACGCTGAATAAATGTGTTTACGTCGAAGTTATGAACATTATTTTATCACCCGCGCGTTGACTCGATCAGACCAATTCAAATGTCAATACGAATGTCACTCCACTCATTTTCCGTTGCGGCTGGGTGCCGGCGAAATTAAACCTTATCGCAGATTCGACTAAACTTAGTAATAATATTATATTTAAGTAAATGAACAAAAAGGGCCTTGTATGCCCATGAAAGTACCTGTCATATCGACTTGAAGATACAACGTGACGGTAGGATTTTACCATAACCTATACGTATATCAACGGTCATGACGTTTCGTATTCATTTAACATATACTTTCAAACATCTAGTAGCCTGGTGTCAAACTGACAGACTCAAATGAGCTTTTAAATGCAAGCAGGAAGCATACAAACAGGATGTATTATTTTTATCTATTTGCATTGCCTGCTATAGCTTTCAGTCGGTACGACAGAAACTTCTGGTGGAAATCAGTTTGTCATACCATGTTTTTCCAAATGAGCCTAAAATTTCCATCAAATCTTGTAGGCTTCATTGGATTCGGTGATGACGGTGAAATTCTCTTGTCACACTGTATCTTTAAGTCGCTTTGACAGGTACTGCTGGCAAGATGCGCCCCCCGTCTTACTGAGCTCTTCTTGTTAATTTACTTAAAAACTACATATTATTACTAAATTTAGTCGATACCGCGATGAAGGTATACTCAATGCCACCAGCTCCCGGGTCATTTCTATTCGCAGGGTGCTACGGTTAGCACAAAACCTTCCTCGCGATGCGTATGCCGCTGCCTAATCCCTCCCCCACCTTCACGGAGTCACCACCCAGCACTGTGCTGCGAGCGGTGCTCGGCGCTGCACTGGTAGCACCTGAGTTGGAGAGGCCTGCCCTAAAGTATAGTCTTACCGGTAAATGTCCATAATTTCGTTAGTTTTCGTTTGAAGCATCAAAATAAGAAAATCGTGATGTATTTTATTGAATTCTATATGAAATCTTCAAATCAAATTCTCTATCATTTGAGCTGTCTCAAAAACCAAAATTCAAATAATCATCCATGTATATTTGGAGATCTTCGTAACTGGCAGTTGACAGGTAGATGCAAGATGAACTTGTTGTCTGTAGCTGTAGCACTGAATTTCTTCCCGCAGGAGACAGCTAAGTTAATGTGGATATAACAGGAATATATGTATGATATTCCTGTTATAATTTCATTATAAACAATTTGGGATATGAGTGAAGGTGAAATTGCATAAATTTGGCTCACGAAATTACGTACAGTCAATTTTTGTTATGTCCCTAAATTCGGGTTACTCCTGAAATGTTTATTGCTTCGTAATTTTTATGCAAATAGTATGTAACAAAATATACATCTAATGAAAAAAGTATAGTGTTTCTTTTGAGCGAATTTCGGTATACACTTTTCTCAACAGTCTTTTCAAGTAGATTGTAAAGTAAATTAAGAAACATTTTAGTGTGTGTACAAAGTATTTTTTTTTATTTTTACTGGACTTGATGCATCCTTTTATTTTCTGTGCCACTGGGCGAGGAAGTATTGTAATCGCGAAAAATTTAGAAAATGAGATTTTTTTTTATATTATCTGGCAACACGAAAAATCATGTCACTCATTTCCGTCTGTCTGTCTGTGTCCGTCTGTCCGCGAATACTCGAGAAGTAACGCTCGGATTTTCTGAAATTTTCACACGGGGTTACTATATGCCAAGGACGAAAAAGCTTGTAATTTGTGAAAATCGGTCCAATGGTGACGGAGTATAGGGCGAAAAACGAAAAAAATAAAAAACGCCCAAAGTTCTTTCTTTGACGTTCCAGATGCTCCTGATCATTTTTGGAATTTTTTTGATAGTGGTTGAAATTCGGGGGCTGGAGGTTGTAGGGATTGGAGGGGGGTATATTAAATTTTTTTGATCTTAGACTATTTATACGCTCCCAACCCCTGTAATTATATGCAGCTATTAGCCATATATCTCACATCATAGATTTCCCCGTACATTTGCCTTTAAAACATAATGATAGATCCACGTACTCCTGCTTATTTATGCTCTCCGCCCGGCGAACCGAACATACATACACGATTCACGCACGATATCAACGCCTCCTGCAGCGATGCCGCGCTGATGTAGAAATGGATAACGTTGCCAAAAGGACAGTAACTACTGGTAGGGCAGGGAAAGCATGTCTACGGACTAATTGTATGGGCTTGTTTGACTTTCTGAATTTCCCTTTTGTACATGTTCGTAACTGACTTTTTTCTCAGAGGATTTAAATTGCGCCGCACAAAATCCTTTATGAACTGATGACGGCATTGGGTAGGAAGTGCAGAGTCAGCCTACTTGACGCCATGTTTTTTGCTATTGTTATTGAATATATGGTACTAAATGGTCAATCAACAAGTTCTCATAATACAGAACATTAAGCATTTCTATATTGCAAAACTGAAACATGAAATAAGGCATATGATTTTTGTTTGTTGTGTCGCTAAATTCGTGATAAAGATACTTGGTAATAATGGGTGTTTTGTCATGGTACAGTTGAATCAGAGTAATAATGGTGCATAATTAATCAAATATAGGTCATTACCGTATCCATTATCAAAGTTCTTATCTTTCCTTTTAGCTTATGAATGCGAAGACGTCAATTTAGTAGAGACTCCCCTATTACTCATAAAAGAGGTGTTTATTTTGTGCCATATATTTATGACACACAAATTTACATTTATATTATTCCAGGTACAAAGATTATTATCAATCAGTACAAAAATACTGTTACTGTTCTACTGTTTATATCATAGTCTTGAGTGGAAGATGTTATGGAATGTGACTTTTCTTTGGAATTACTGTTTTGAAAAATTTCTGATTTAGTCTAACATGAGTGTCTACATTTATTTTTTTTACGTGATATCACGTCAGCTAGACACGTAGTTAATAGTTATGTCCTTACTATTTAGTTTATTTATCTCTTCGATACTTACTCCACATTATATACCCAGGTTCTGAATCATGAAATAGGGGACATTCATTCACGAAGTTAGGTACAAGGCGAATTTTTGTCACAAAATAAGGTTCAAATGACTTTGGAAACATTATGTATTTTTATAGTAGCATTCATCAAATTAGCCGATGGGGTCCATTCTCTGATACTGCTTATACATACATATATTTTTTTACCTCATTTATATATTTATATATATATGGGTGGTCCATCTATCGTTTTTTTTTGAGTTACTGTTTTTTTTGGGATATGTCAAGACTTATTTCGCATCTGATTTGACAGAACATCAGTCATATCATTCCGATTAATGAAAATGGTTGTGTATTCGCTTGAACAACGCTGGGAAATATTAAAACAATATTTCGAAAGTGGTGGTAATGTTGCAGATTGTGTCCGAAAATTACGTGCAAAAATGGGAAGAAATGAAGTACCGTCAGCACCGTATGTGAGGTATTTTGTGCAAAAAGTTCGTGAAACTGGTCTTCTTATTGACAAACCAACGCGTGAAAGACCGAAAACGGTGCGTACACCCGAGAATATCGATGCTGTAGCTGAGAGTGTGGCAGAGTCTCCAAGCACATCAACGCGCCAACGTTCTCAACAATTGAACATTTCACGCACATCATTAGGTCGAATTTTGCATAAAGACCTTGGTATGAAGGCGTACAAAGTTCAATTGGTTCAGCAATTGAAGCCAACTGACCATCCAATGCGTTTTCGCTTCGCTTCATGGGCCTGCAATCAACTTGATGAAGATGTTGATTTTGGTCGAAAAATCATCTTTTCAGATGAAGCGCATTTTTATCTTGGCGGCTATGTTAATAAGCAAAACTGCCGCATTTGGGGTTCAGAGAACCCACACGCAATCGAAGAAAAGCCAATGCATCCAGAACGAGTGACTGTTTGGTGCGGATTTTGGGCTGGTGGCATCATTGGCCCACTTTTCTTTGAAAATGAAGCCGGAGCAGCAGTTACTGTGAATGGTGAGCGTTACCGTACCATGATAAATGAATTTTTCTTTCCACAAATTCAAGATATTGATGCCGCCTCGGAGCTGTGATTTGACCCCATTAGATTATTATTTATGGGGTGCCATTAAAGACCAATGTTATGCCAACAAACCAGCAACAATTGGCGAAATAAAAGAGAACATACGCGCTGCCATTGCTGAAATACAGCCACATACGATTGAAAATGTGGTCAAAAATTGGACTGACCGTATGGGCTACTGCAAAGCCAGCCGCGGCAGTCATTTAAATGAAGTTGTATTCCATACTTAATCGGAAGGATTGTACTTTCAAATAAAAAAAAAATTGGAAAAATATTTAGTAGTTTTTTTTATAGCATTTTTAAAAAAAAAATTTAAATGGACCACCCATATATGCTTATCTTATTATGATGTAAACCTAAGACCAGGGAATTAAGTGGAAGAGCGGATATGCCGAACTTCGCCCCTCCCACTATATGTTCATATAAAACTGGTTTTGCAACTTGTTTTGTATTTTCTTTTGAGGGAATAAAGACATTATTATTATTATTATTATTAAATGGTGGGTTTTTGAAAAAAATATTTAAAAGGATACTACAAACTGAAACAACAAAGATTTTGCACTTGACTACTCTCAAAATGTCTGCCTTCACGAAAAAAAAGTTTTATCTCGACATCTTATCAACAATTTGCCAAAAAAAAATCTAGAAACGAAAAGTCCCTTAATATGTCAAAGTTTGGGACATTAACTTTGTCGATAATCGTCTTTAGGTGTGAGCACCTCCTGCCGCAGGTAATTGGATGTCATCTTAGAAAGAATTATAGGTTTGTTCTTACAGTGGTCGGTGACTTGTCGGTGTCAGGGATCCGGCCGCAGAAATTTGGTCTATATAGCGTAGCAGAATGAACAGAATTTGTTTGTAAGGATCTTGGAACGGTCACTGACAGGTTGGCGACTGCTGTACGGACAGCGCTTTTGTGGGATGTTGAAGAGTGATTTTTCTTTGGAAGGTTGGATGTCATGCTTAAGGATAAATGGTTTTCAAAAGAAATTACTGCGTTTCTACTTGCCACTATGACTGTGACGATGGAAATAGTATGTGATAGATAATACATTTCGACCCCTTGGTGGCCCTTTTTATATTACAATTCGGTTATACATTCCATTATACATTTTACTCTGTAAAAGATCACCAAGATAGCCGAAGCGTCAGTAATTATATTCCTTCTACATCTGCTAGTCTAACAGAGATTAGTCAGTTGAGTCTAGATACTATATGTACTGTTGAATGGGTGAAGTTAGCATGCTAAATTGGAACAATTTTTTAAATGTGATAGTCGTTGTGTGGTACCATAATTTGAGGCTGTCAAAGTTGCACGTTTTTGTACATCGACCAATCATCAAAACGCTATAGTAGGTCATATCAATCTTTTTTTCTTAGACGATTCTATCCGAATGTGTAATCAAATATGGAACATTTCATTAAAAAAATTGTGTAAACCTGTTAATTTTTTTCAAACTGAATGTCCCTTATTTTATTGTACACTCAGATAGACTCTTTTATAATAAGGAAGTGACCTCAGCAGTCGACGCCGTGGTTAAAAAAACAAGGAAATGGATGTAACATACTATAATGTTTTGATGACACCGTGCCAGTCCTCAATTTTGAAAGTTGCTGATTCTATATTCTAGGCTTATAACTCATAAGGATCTTTAAAATAAGGTATCACATCACCCTCCATTCCGTTTAAAACATGTTACAAGGTGGCGGCCAGGCGCCATATGGAAACTTTTACGTTAAAACGTGGTACTCATGCGACAACTTCATTATCCCGAATTAACTTGACCCGTTCAAAAAATAAGTGGGGGAGGTGAAATTTCTGAAAAGCATTGTATACGTATACTGAATACAGCTTGATAGGGCTTTGTGTAATAACGTGTATTATATAAAAGCGTATGTATAGTTTACCTACCTGACACCTTGTTCATGTTGCAGGTACTCGTATAGTAATGTGCAAATGGATATGTTCGTACAGGTAATACTTTATGAATCTACATGACGAGAGCAGGAACAAAAATTTCAAAAATACTGTCTTCAACCTTTATAATGTTTCATAACCAAGCATTTGCTTTTTGGTTGAAAAATGTGGGTAACTAAGATTGCTGACTTTTGTTATAATAGGGTTTGAATATATTTGTAGTTTATATGTACAATTTCTGTTTAGCGCATATTACGCATATTAGGTTTACACTTTACATTGTTATGAGAATAATTCTTATATTTTTACACGCCATGTTTACAATAAAAAATGAACGTTATATATTTTTTTTATTTTACTAAAGACCCAAAGAACCACACCACACACACGTTTCAACTATTCTGTTCCGGTCTGTTACGAAACCATTCGAAAACTACTTGATAGATTAGGGTACGAAATTATTTTTACCAACTGTAAAATTTGCAATTATACATAATTAACTTGAAATTGACGAATAGAGATTATTTATTTTATAACCATTTTTGGGATTTTCGACTTAGGTAGGATCAAAGAGTAGTTATATCAAGAGAAGACCATGGAATGTCTTTATAACCTGCCGGTTGGCTTCATTGACCTTGGGTTTCTTCTGAATTATAGTAAGGCAGTCGACCGCACATTTTTGGTTACAATTAGAGATATTGAAAAAAGTCAGAGTTAGGGAGAAGAAAATGGTAAAATAAATTATTTTTGAACTGGTAGCATAGCAATCTGAAATTCCAGGTGTAAAAACACTATATTAGTTGAAGATTTAAAAAAAGGAAAAGTCGTTCATCAGTTTGTTGTATGTCATCTTTTCTTAAAAGGATCTATCGGAATATGTAAAAATAAGCAACATTCTATTAAAAAGGTCAAAGTCTGTCATGTTTTTCAAATGGAGTGTCCCATTGCTTACTGAACATGCATATATACGCTTCTAAAAAATATTGATGTACCTCAATTGTAGCGTTTTGATGATTAGTTGTTCAAGGTACAAAAAACTACTTTGCATATAGTAAATTTACGTTATAGGGGCCTAAAGTATTGATGAGAAGCCCCAAAATGAGGCGTGACATGACTCCTCGCCCAACCGCCATCTTGAATTTTATATCTGTCACTTTGAGAATTTCAGCTTGCTAATTTCACCTGTTTAAAAATAAGTTGGAGTTTTTTTAAAAGCACTGCATATATTATACTGACATATTCCTGATATATGTACAAGCGTATATAAATCTTAATTCTGGTCCTTTATATGTTGGATGTTGGTATCCTTTTATTTTTACATTTAAATACTTTACCGTGCATAATCGTCGCTTTTTCAAAAGTGGTAAAGACCATTTATAATCTAGCTGTCATGAAGAATCGATATCGTGATAAATATCAGGCAAATTTTAAATGTTGCAGATACTGCAAAAAGAACACTCTAAAACAATGAATTCCCTACAGACAAGCGGAACTGGTGTCAGTAACGTCATGTGCAACGGCGTACGAATTTACAATCCGAAGTGAGTCTTTCCACTATCTTCTCGAGTCCATGCTGCTTGCTGCATTACCGAGACCGTGTTGCCAAACTGACTATAAAAATGTTTAGAAA